ACAATAAAGGTTGCAACCCTCCTCACCATCCAATAAAATGGACGGTGGATATTTAAAAAAGAAAGGAGAGAGGGTAAACAGGAAAATGTAAAGCCCCGATTGCCCTTTTTAATTTCCTTCCAAATTCTCTCTCTATGCTTTTGGACGTCTCCCTCTCTCCATCATCATATTTATCGCAGAACATCTTAATATCTCTCGCTAGAGATGGAAAGAACCCCTTAGAGAGAGAGAAGATTGAAGGAGAGTATTAAAATTAGGATTAGAAAGGCCCCAGCACTTTAGAGAGAGAAGGTTGAGAGAGGGTATAAAGAGAGAAGATTGAGGGAAATAGGAGGAGCATATGGAAGAAAAGTAAAGAGAGAGAAGATTGAAGGAATGCATTCGGGCTAGGGTTAGAAAAGGTCCTCTGAGCATTTGTTGCCATTCGAAAAGTTCGATGACTCTCTCGGCTGGTATTTGTTGCCATTCAAAATCGTCAGCAACCATTGCAATTACAGCACCTTAAGCAAGCCGTCTCTCTATCGTGGCTTTTAGAGTACGACATCCAGAACAATCTCTCTAGGTAATTAGTTTTTTGCCCTAATGAAGATTTTTTTCTCAAATCAACTATTTTGGTATGAGCTACTTTCTTCTTCTTTTTCCTTTTTTCTTGGTGATTTCTTTGGGTATTTCTTTGTCTTAATGAGGATTCTTTTGTGCAAATCAAAGTTGTGGTATATCGAAGTTATTCTCTCTTTTTTCTTTTTTTGCCTTACATTTTTCTTCCACCTCATTTTGTTCTATGTAGAACTATAATTCATGCATCCATTACTTGCTTGAATTTTCTCGATGTTTATTCTAGCAAAGTCCACAGTTTTCGAAGAACCTTGGATTCAGTCACTGAATTTATTTTCAATTTTTTTTCTTTTACTTTTTATTTTGGGGGAAAATGTTTTTTGGATAAATGGTGATCAGATTAGGGCGAACTATGAGAAAATCATTTTCAATTCAAGATCGATAATTTGGTACATTTAATTTTATTATTTACTTTGAAATTAGGATATAAATTTTCTAAGATCTTAATCCACTTGCTAAATTAATTTGAATCAGGCCTAGCAAAAAAGAAATCAAACCAATATGTCTGGAAAATAAAAAGAATGAAAGATTTTAACCACTCAATTGAATAATTTTCCTAAAAATTGCAATTACCAAAACCATTGTACATGGTAAATGGATTTTGAAATGGTGCAACCAGAGATGCTGCAAAATTTATGTAAATTTGCAACATGTTAGATACAGTTAAAATTTTTCCGAATCCATTAATTTAACTTAATATTTTGTTTTTCGATTTTGAACTCATTTATATCATATAAATGAGTGTTATATACTTGTCAATGCACATTACATGTATGGATTAATAGGAATTCGATGTGGATGATGTTATGAAATGTTGCAATTTTTCTATAAATTTGTAGCAACATATTAGTTGCACTAATACTTTATGAGAATACAAAATATTTTTTGTATACGAATGAGGAAGAAAGGCTTGCCAATTTTTTATACAATAAGAGTTTTTGATGTGTATAAATGAGTATGTAAACCGAAAATGGGAGTGCTTGTTGATGATAGAAAATTTTATGAGTATATTGGTGGCACCCTTATGATATTTATGTGTTTATTCTTTTGTTGCTATTGTTGTCTTGATAAAGATAACCATCTTAGAAATATTAGGAGTGTTAAAGAAGTAGTAATTAAAGCCTGATAATTGTATGATAAGGAGAAGTCCTTAATTCTAGCTTTAGAGTTTTTTTAATAAATTTGACTTAAAACGAGTGGATAAAAGTCTAATTAGATTTTCTTTTCATGTTTATGGGTCTATAAAATAGGATGGACCTAAAGCTGGACACCAAGAATGTAATTGACATGGAGGTGGAGAGTATTTCAGATGTTCATGTTGTCGAGGAGCATAGCGATAATGAAACGGATGATATTACACATGTGGGTGGTGATAATGGCAGTGACTCTTATGCAAGTCAGGATGAGACTTGGACAGTAGAGACAATAACTTCTGAATGTAATGGTAAGGTTCCGCAAGAAGGTATACAGTTTGAATCTCTTGAAGCTGCATTTGATTTCTATAATAAATATGAAAAAAGAATGGTTTTTAGTGTTCGATGTTCTTTGACTTGTCAATCAAGAAAAGATGGGTCTGTCATTGGTCGTGAATATGTATAAACAACGTCTGCAGTACAAGAAGTATCAGAGGTGATGAATGCACCCCAACCCAAAATAGTTATCACAGACCAAGAGAGGGCAATGACCCTTGCAATAAAAAAGATATTCCCGAAATCCCGACATCACTTATGTAGATGGCATATTACCCAAAATATCAAGCAAAAAATGGTGCAGTGGCAAAAAATGATAAAGAGATATGAATTGATGAACAATGATTGGAAGCAGTCCCTATATGAAATCCGACACCAGTGGATAGATGTATATTTGCAAGATTGCTTCTCTACTGGCAATAGGACCAATGGAAGAAGCGAACCATGAATAAGGACATTAAAGCATAAGTAAATTCCCATATTGACTTGACTGCATTTGTTAGGCGATTTCAAGAGTTAATTGATAAAAAGTTTAATGAGAAAAACAATGCAGACTTCAAATCTCATAATGAAATACCCATTATGAATATTGCGAACTTTACACCCCAACTGCCTTTAAAAACTTCTTTCAACCATAGTTGATGAAGGCCACTGAACTTACTTGTGAAGTGTAAGAGCATGATGGGATGATATGCACTTTCAGTTTGAAAAAAAATGGGGCATGACACCCTGCTCATATTAAGTAACAATGAGGAGAAAGTAACATATATATGAGCGTATTGATATCCCTTGTAATCATATGCTTCGGGTATTTGTTTTAAAAAATATCCTTGAGTTATCCCAATATTATATAATAAAGCGATGGATAAAGGATGTGACATAGGGGGTTGCTCATGATGGTTTTCGAAATCAAGGGCCAATCGTGAGGATACTTATTCCATACATTACAATGATCTATTTCAATAGTGCAACATGTTATTAGCTAATGGGGTCGTGAGTCCTAGTGTATTGCATATGCAAAGATGGTTATATATGAGGTATGTGACAAGGTTGCTGCTAGAGCGGACAAGGAGAGAGCTTCCACAAAACAAGTCTCTCCTACCCCTAGTCGCCCAACATCCTTAAGAACATCTGCCATTTGTGTGAATCCCATCTTTTCTGTGGCTTCAAACCCACATGTGACTATAAAGGCTTCAACTTGTGTAAAGCCGAAAGGACTACCACCTACCCCTTTGAGAATCAAACCACGGCACGAAGAGAGAACAAGTAAGAGAAAGTGTGGTGGCCGTGGAGTCACAGGTCATGATAGGCGTAATTGTGCAAGATATAATCAATCATATTTCATAGTTATGAGTTTAGATTTCTAAAGTTAATTGAAGTATTATTTATTGTTTCTTTAATACTTTGATGACTCAAGTTTAATGATTATGAATGATTTTGTGTTTGTTAGCTACTACCCAAACTCTATAAAAGTGGAATGCTTACTTAAGTTACTTAGTTTCTATAAATTAAGGATAGATTTTCCTTTAAATGTAAGAATCCATACTTATTATTAAATAACGAATGAAATATTGTTTAGAAAATGATCTTAATAATAGAATCTATTGCATGAAAATTGCCTTCTGAAATGCTCCTATTATTATTGAGTTGTTTTCCTTTTATATTTTGGTACAAAAGCGTCACTGTCGAGGGCCCAAGTAACTCCCCACGAAGTATGGGTAACACTCAAAGTGTCGTAGCTCAAGAGCAACAATGATTAGCCTTTAATTTGATATATAATTAATTTTTTGATATGTAATTACACAAATTTTTTGGATATATACTTACATATTTTTTTGGTAATTTTGAAGTTGGTTACCTTTGCAAGGTATGACGTTTGTGTAAGAAGCAAGTGTGTATTCCAGTTTGTGATAATTTTCTATGTATATGATAATGGAATACTCTACTAAACAGAGGTACTAAATTTGAGCCCTTATGATATGCATGAAAAAGTGTGGAAGATGACGTTTTGTGAAAAACATATCCTTTCTTCAACATAGGCTTCTGATAATGTTTATGGTAATTTTGGTTTGTGCTATGCCATTCAACTATTATGTCATTTTATTACTTAAGTTCATCATATGTAATTCCATGATCAGATTATATAAATTTTGTGAATAAAATAGCAACATATTCCTGAATTTTATAGCAAAAATTTGATTCACAGAAAGAGTTGATGATCTTGGATAGAGGTTGACAAGTGGTGGATATGATTTCCATTTTGGAGAGCAATCAAAGCTTATAATAACATCAAAGAATTGGTGGATATGTGGTGAGTAGTCAAAGTTTATGATGTAAGTATATGGGTTTTTTTTTTTTGTTTGAACAAGTTGGACACCTAACTTGAAATTGAAAGTGTGGTTGAGAGTGCTATTTAAGAATGTGTATGTGGTGTGGTGTGGCCGCTTAATGAAGCTGGTGTGCTTCTAAAAGTTACTCTTTCCTTCCCCATTCACAGATCAACACATATCTTGACAAAGAAGCATTTTGATTTATTTTATGATTTCATCATTTTTGTTTTTCTTTTTTCTTTTTGTTACTTTTGGGGATGGAGGGTTGGAGGATAGACATTGTAATCCCCTTAGATATTTTGAACAATTATTATCATTTTATAATGTGAAGGTGAAACATTAAACTCATCTTTATATTTTTTGTTTTAACATGTAAGCATATTAGTAGGTCTAATGTACTAGGTTGATGTGTTTTCTCAACCTTTATCTATCTTGTCTTATTCTTTTTTTTTTTTACAAATGAGCATATTGGTGGATCTAGTATTCAAGTTGCATTAGTTGCATCATTTCATGACTCGTATTTTAGGTCCAAACTTATGCAATGAATTTGTTGAGATGTGCGATGTGTAGCAGTCGATCCTCCCACACTCTCTCTCACATCATGATAGATACCAAATGCTATCTCTCTCTCTCTCTCATCACGATAGATACCAAATGCTCTATGCTTATCTCTCACATATGTTATGTAACCAAAAACAAAAATGTATGAACAGTGAAATATTCAACATATAAGAATAATAAATTTACAAAACAAAGGAAGCACTTGGCCTTTGCTCTTATTCCGCCCCCTGGGGATTATAAATCAAAACTTTACACTGTATGAAAACAACATGAACTACAAAGCCCTGAATGATTAAACATATATTTAAGAGTACAAATGAATATCCAAACATGACACCGTTCAATTAACTTTCACCACAAACTACTTAAGGAGACACTTCACACTAGATTTGTGCATGTCACTTGCATATTGAGATCTTGCCCAGATCATGGTCAAGTAAGACAAAGACGTACTTTGGATAGAGTAGCCATTGATGCTAATGGGTGGTTGTGATTGGTTACGTTGGCATATAGTAATAGGCCTTCCACTACCATCTAAATAACCTGAAAAATCCTCAAGGCTCATGCCACCATACATATTTAGGCTAAACCATTAGTTAGGCTCAAAAGGTAATATTAACGAGGGGCTTGAGATCAATGACTTTAACTTCAGTTTCTTACCCTCTGGAATGAATATCTACAAAGGCCTGACAAAGACAACACAAAGGATCAGAATAAAATAATTTTATTATTATTATTATTATTTTGTAAAACTAAAAGAGTCTCTAGTTTATATTGATTCAGCAAAAATTACAACAAACAAAAAACAAAAGTTAGAATTTATATTGTGGTTTCGAATAACTACATCTAAAATCACTAGCCAGAGCAAACAATTTATAAAGGAAGATTATAAAAACAAAATCTAACACTTAAAATCTAAAAATAAGACAAGTATATAATCATTGATCAAGTAAACGTTATGCTTTCTAACACACTGAAATGATCAACCAAGCATTAGAAGAAAAAAATAGATAGCATCTAAGAAAAGCAATTGTGATGTATGAAATGGTTATTGTGATGAATTCTCAAGATGGTTTCAACATTGGGGGAAATACAAAACACAATACAAAAATGTGGCTATTAAATTAGTTTATACTTTACACATCATTAATTACTCTTCAAACAAAATCATCACAATTTTGTGGGGTTTCATCCCTTTATATTTCTAGGTGGAAACAAAAAGTCCTTTTAATTGCAGCTGTGGAGCTTTAGTTATGTCAACACAAGTGGAATGCTTATTATGCTTTCTTAGAGCAAAAGGAGCATTTTGGACGTTGCGTTGGAGTCTACTTTCTTTTTTTATTGAGGTATACCATTGTATTTGGTTCCAAGGTCACCAAAATGCATCTTTCAATAAATTAAACCAAAGTGGTTTTATCAAATATCTTTGAATCTCATATGACACCAAGTTCAAAAGTGACATTGAGACAATCAACCTGCCCAAATATCAGCAAAAGGAGAAAAATCCATTTAAAACTAGTAGTAAGAAGGACAAAAATCCATTCAAATCACTTGGTCACAATAGCAGTAACGATACATATTAATTGGATGATTCATTTGACGTACTTGCTAACTTGTTTTGTAATTTCTGTTCTTTGCACTATCCATATGAGAACTTATTGATATTTTGCACATCCAATTGAATAAATGAATTACCAGTATGTTGTTGATAAATATCTAACCACTTGAAATTAAGAACAAAAATTTGCTTATGTAAAGAATTATTTGAAGGGCTTCCAAAGGATAAAAGCATATTACTAGAATTAAAATGAGTGAGTATCCAAAAACTAGTTACATGCCCACTAAGAAACACATAGTTCTTTGAAAGTTGTGAACACAAAGAGAAAGTATAAAACATTGGAATTAGTTCACAGTACTAACCACAACAACTTAACAAATGCATATAATTTGATTGTGAATAGTTGCATTATTCATATGAAAAAGATCAAAATTCAGCAAACCCATCTAAATTAATGAATTATTCGCTAATTAGGCTAACTATTTGAAATTTATAACAAAGGTATTTTTGTGTAAGAATTACTTGAATTACTATTAAAATAAAATAAACAAAAATACTTGAACAAGAATTTGGGGATAAATGAGCATTTAAATAACTATTTACATATCCATTAGGAACCACAATTGAATTCACTGATATCAACATTGGAAAAAGCATTATCACTTACCAGTCTCGCCCAAATTCCCATTTTAATTGTGTTCAAAATATTAATAAATATAGCAAGAAAAGAAATATAAACCAAATACTTTTTACCCCATCATGAATACTCATAGCTAGTGCTACAATCTCTTTTAAAGTCACTAACAAACCAACCCTTCCCAATCGGTTACACACTAAGTGCATTAAATCGTTCCCCATATTATTTGGATCAAATTTACTTCACCATTTATCATGTGACAATAGCGGGCCATTCTTCACTACAATGAGAAAAGAATGAGAAGGAAAACCAAATTAAAAAGTCATATTTCACCATTTTTGTATAAAAATATATTGCTCTAAAGGGTTCTTGTCTTAATATGGAGAATTTATAGGCATACATCCCTTTGCTCAACCAAGTAAAAGAAGTGAGAAAAGAAATACACACAAATGGAGGCAATAATCGAGCACATAGATTATCATAATATGAAAGCGAGACATATGCAAATATCCATTTGCTCATCCAAGACCTACAAGGAAATGAAAAGAGAAATACACCCAAATATAGTGAATAAAAGAAAACCAAGATTATCTATATCAATCCTACCATGCCAATTGAATCATTCTTTTTAGTGAAAATTACACACATATCCGTTATATTTTACGTTATTATAGATGTACCAAAAAGTTTCCGTTATTACATATCTGTCTGTTTTTTTACCTTTCATAACGCAATTTTTTTTAAAAAAATGACTTTACCCTTTTTTGGGTGTTCAACATTCGAATTGAAAGGTTTTTCAGATGTTCAACATCCGAAAATAGCCCGAAAGTTTAACATTCACATTCCGCAGGCACATTTTTCAAATGTTCAACGTCCGAAAATTTGACTGCGAAATTCCATAAGGTTTTTTTTGTAGGCACATTTTCGGATGTTGAACATCCGAAAATGTGCTATTTTTGGATGTCCAACATCCAAAAATATGAATGCGAACGTTAAACTTTCAGCTATTTTCGGATGTTGAACATTCGAAAAACCCTTCAATTCAGATGTTGAACACCCGAAAAATAGTAAAGTCGTATTTTTTAAAAAATTGTGTTATGAAATATAGAAAACAGACTGATATGTAATAACGGAAACTATTCGGTACATCCGTAATAACGCAAAATATAACGGATATATGTGTAATTTTCCCTCTTTTTTAACTGAGATAAAAGTAAAAAGTAGAAAAAAAACCAAGAAAGACCACATATTTTGGTCAATTTGGGTCCTTAAAAAAATAAAACCTCTCTCTCGCTACTGAAAGAAAAAAAGAAAACAGAGGAACCCTAGAATGGTGATAGTTATAAACATACCTTGCATTGGTATTGAATAATAACTGAAAACCATCCTTTTAGGGCTACTCTGAAAATTGTTGATATGACTAAAGAAGAAGAAAGAAAGAATTTACAAGGGTTTGAGTAGGCATCCAGCCAAGGCCAAAGCTAGGATAGCAGAAGCAAAGCAGAACACCACCCCATTAGATAAACCCACTCTAATCATAGTGAAAAATCTCATCCTGTATTTTAGAGAGAGAGAGTATTTCTACAACAAAATTATTCATCTTCCTTCTTTTGATAAAGGATCAGGCTTTCTTTCTCTAAGCACGAGAGAAGAGAAAAGGTCAAAGAGGTTTGGAGAGAGAAGTTTGAGAAAGAGATTTACATGTGAGAGACTACTACGAAAAATGGAAGAATCCACAATGGAGAAGAAGTTTTTGTTTTTGTTTTTGATTTGTGGGTAGATGGAAAAGTTGATATGGAGAGAAGAGAAAACTTTTCCCTTTTGTTTGTGGGTAGATGTAGAAGTTGGTAGAGAGGAGAGAAAAGTACGCGAAATGGGAGAGTGGAGCACAATACAATCATCTTTTCAAAATGTCTAGTTAACCGGCAACAGGAAGCCCCGGTTATTTTTCATTGGGCGCTGTGCAGAATCCTCACCATCCAATAAATAGATGGTGGAAATGTCTGCAACCCAAGTTCAACAGTTTCGGTGGAACCATATAGAAACCACACCATATATATA